TTATATAACAAAAGTATTATAAAATAAATTATTTTCATGACTGACATAGCACTGTAGCCTTGTGGTTATTCTACAATAAACCTTTTTCAGGGAATAGTTTATGTAGAATTTCAGCTTTGGGTGCTGGCAGTGAGGTGCAATGCTTCTTCCTTGAGTCTTAGGGAGGTGTGGTTTTCTCCTTTTCCAGTTTACAAAGCTGGGGTATTTTGTTATACTACAAAGACTCTTCACTTTAGGAGTTTATTCTCGATAAGACTAGTTACTGGTATTAACACTAGGATTAGGAGAAAATATAAGATGGATGCTAATTGGCCTACAATTATGTATGGGTGTTCTACGGGTTGACCTCCAATTCACGTTAGGCTTAGGAGGTCTGCGACTAGTATTCAGAATAAAAGTTGGCTGAAGGGTCGGAATATTATGCTTCGTTGTTTAGATGTGTGGAGTATTGAGATGAACATTAGGACAAGGATTGAGAGTAGTAGGGCTAAAATTCCTCCTAGTTTGTTGGGAATTGATCGTAAGATTGTGTATGCAAATAGGAAGTACCATTCTGGTTTAATGTGTGCTGGGGTGCTGAGTGGGTTTGCTGGGGTGTAGTTGTCGGGGTCTCCTAGCAGGTCAGGTGTGAATAAGGTTAGTGTAAGTAGGGTTAAGATTAGTAGTAAGGCACCTAGGATGTCTTTGATTGTGTAGTAGGGGTGAAATGGGATTTTGTCTGTGTTGGATGGAATTCCTGTGGGATTGTTAGATCATGTTTCGTGGAGGAATAGTAGGTGGACGGTTGCTAGTGCTAGGATGATAAAGGGGAGAATGAAGTGGAAGGCAAAGAAGCGTGTTAGTGTTGCTTTGTCAACGGAAAAGCCACCTCAAATTCATTTGACTAGAGTGGTACCGATGTAGGGGATTGCTGATAGGAGGTTGGTAATGATGGTTGTGCCTCAAAATGATATTTTTCCTCAGGGTAGGATATAGCCTACAAATGCAGTAGCTATAACTGTGAATAGTAGTATTATCCTAATGTTTCATGTTTCTTGGAAGGCGTGGGAGCCATAGTATATGCCATGTCCTACGTGTGCATAAAGGTAAATGAAGAATATGGAAGCTCTGTTTGCATGTAGATATCGAATAATTCAGCCGTAATTAACGTCTTGGCAAATATGTGTGACAGATGAGAAGGCAGTTGTCGTGTCTGGTGTGTAGTGTATTGCTAGGAATAGGCCTGTTAGGATTTGTACAATTAGGCAGAGACCAAGTAGGAAGCCAAAGTTCCATCATGAAGAGATGTTTGATGGGGTGGGAAGGTCGATAAATGTGTAATTGAGGATTTTTATTAGTGGGTGTGTTTTTCGAATGTTGGTCATTGGTGTTCTTGTAGTTGAATGACAATGATGATTTTTCATGTCATTGGTCATGGTTGAAGTCCATGTGAGAATAATGATGACATACATTGTTTGTATTATAAGCATTACTTTTGTAATTAGTTTTGTGGGGGTTCTTCAAAGCCTTCACCTATTTATAGGGGTTTAGGATTGATTGTGGGTGGTGGTGTTGGGTGTGGGATTGTTTTAAACTTCGGTGGTTCATTTTTAGGTTTAATAGTATTTTTGATTTATCTGGGGGAATGTTGGTTGTGTTTGGTTACACAACAGCTATGGCTACTGAGCAGTACCCTGAGGTTTGGGTTTCTAATAAGGTTGTGTTAGGAGCATTTCTTTTAGGATTAGTGGTAGAGTTTTTAGTAGTGTTATACGTTTTAGAGAGTGAGAAGGTGGAGATTGTGTTTGAGTTTAATGGGTTGGGTTGTTTACGATACAGGGTATTTGGGGTTCTGCCAGAACAGAATTGGTTTGAGACGACATGAATGATAAGTCTGAGGTGACAACATGGCACCCTGGGGGAACTGACAAGCAAGCATCTGAAGGTATAAAACTGGATCTCAGAGGAGAAGCAGAATTGGACATGTGGATTTGAGGATTATCAGTACAAGTAAGATCACCCCAGAAGCCTGTGAGTAGGTGAATATCTGAAGTGAGGCAGTTAGAGAGAAGAGGTGGAGGAGGACATGTCCACCAAGAAAACAAAGAAGGAACAGTCAGGGAGTTGAAATGTACATATTATCCCAAGAGCAGAATGATGACAGAGATTCAAGAGTGAATGATCAACGGTGTCAACTGCTAAAAGGCATAAAAGAGATAGAAGACTCAGAAAATTCAGCTGAGTTTGCCGACAAGAAGTTTACCCTTGAGAGAGAAATTTCAGTAGAGTGGTTGAGGTGAAAGACAAAATGCCTTCAAGAATGAATTAAAGAGTAATTTACAGAAGAGGGATGGCTACTGATCACTTTGAGAGAAAGTCTTGAAATTTCTAGGTTTGTAGCATCAGCAAGGAAAAGGAAGGGGAAGTATTCATTTTATTTTGTGTTTTGAAGTTTCTGCATACAAAGAAGATGGGTTCAATGGAAAAAGAACAAATGAAGATGTAAGAGAGTGATGACATGCATACTAAAAGGATGGGTTCAATGGAAAAAGAACAAATAAGATGTAAGAGAGTGATGGCAATGACAATTCAGGAAGGCTTATTAATACAAAGACCTAACTCTTGTATGGTTCTTGTTATGTCCCAGGCACTATTCTAAGTGCTTTATACATATTAGTCCATCTTAATCTCATAATATTCTATTAAGACAGTACTATTATCATCCTCACTTGCCCACTATCACCATCTGGAAGGAGTGGGTTCAAGAAATGAACTCAGATGGACTGACTAAAGACACCATGCTCTATCCATTGGGCTATGCTAGTTATAAGGGTTAAAGAAGGAAATAAGAGTAATGACTCCCTTCATGAGACGGGGAAAAGAGAGGAAATACTGGTTTAAGCACAATAACAGGGAAACACCTGAGCATCTTCATATATGATAGGACATCATATGAAGTTCATCATATGAACTAATGACAGTAAGAAAATAGAACAGGGATTAGTGTAAGTATTTAGGACAAGAGAGAAGCACACACTACAGATGAAACAGAAGAACAAAACTTGTCAAACATCTTCTGTAGCCCCAGTTGATAAGGGAGCCCCAGAGGCAGTTATGTAAGGTCAAGTTCAATGTGGACCTCTGGGGGAGGGGAGGGAAGGGAAGGTTTGAGTTTGGAGATGAGCCCAGCAGATAAAGCTGCAAAGTGAGATCTGGGAAGGATGTTAGGATATTGGAGAGAAGTTAATTTAAATGACAGTTATGTTTTACAATTTCAGACAAGAAGCTATTTCCAGTAAAAAAGAAACACAAGTCTTGATAACTTGGTATGCTATTGGCTGAATATTTACAACACAGTGTTTGTAAACATTGATATCAAATTGAGTAAAATTCATACATTTTAATAGGAGCAATTAAAATACAAAACTAAGCAACTGAATCTTCCATCAAGAAATGTTGTCTAACTACAACATCATCATCATCATCATCATTATTATTATTTCAGGTGTGAAAATATCAATAAATCTCAGACACTGAGAGATGAAATCTATTGTGAAGCTTGTGTAGACTGAAAATAGTTGTCTAGCCTCAAATGGCTTTCATATATTGTTTTTCACAGCCTGACCAAGCAAAGGCTAAATTATGAATGAAATACTGACTCTACCTTTGCTAAATGTCTCCAGAAAACACCACTAAAAATGTCAAAAGAAGAGCTATTTGAAGCAATTGATATCTATAAAATACAATTATAATCCTATCGTAGATGATAATTTATATAAGAAAATGGTTGTTAGTATCAGAATTTTTAACTCTATTTAATAGCTAAATGGATGTCATAGACGTTGGCTAGTACTAAAAGAGGGAGAATTACAGATAATATAAAATCATTTTAAAATATCATACTCTCCCTGAAATACTTCTTTTTCTAGACCTAGAATGAGAAGCAACCAAAGGCCATACAAATGTCATCCTGAACTTTGCCTAAAAGCATTTGTTTTGCAGAAAACGGATGTTTTAAAAATTTAATTCAGGGTTGACAACTCAGTCATGATAAATGTTATTAAATATAAAAAGATAATTTTTCCTCATATAATTATATTCACTTTTTAGATGATTCTTTGTGTTTAGACTGGGTTTATGAACATTTTTGTGAATGCTTTAAGGCCCAAGGAATATTGTTCAACTACATATGCCCTTGATTGATTTCCAAATATAGAGGTGTATTTCATTAAATATAGAGAATTTGCAAAACAAATGTTTTAAAACAAGATTTTACATTTTAAAAAAAGATTTAATTGCAGGTTGATTTTGACTAGTCAATTCTTTTAGAAAAGTTTCAAGGTCTGAGAGTCTGTGTTAAGCCAGAATGTCTTTATGGTGATGCTCAGAAGAGCAAAGGATGCTTATACATAAGCCTTATGTGCTATTGACTGCTTGCTTCTAATAGAATATTTATGATTACATTCCAAAGCCAACTATAAGTATTTTTGCTTTTTTAAAAATATATATACATATTTTTTAGGTACTGAACACCTCATTACTTGTTACATATCCCATCACTATACATTATGAGGCAGATAGATACATTTTTAAATAAAATATTAATATTTATTGCAGATATCTGCAGAAATTCTAATTATTTATTTGCCCACTGACTGCAATTATAAATGCTTCCTCATCAAGGTATTGTCATTTTAAGAAGCTTTTTAAGAATGTTAAACTAAGACTAGAAGATAAATTAATAATGGCATCTTTTAAGGTTTTGAAACATGTCTTGGGATTTCCACCTTGGGATTAGAACATGAAACAATGAGCAATGCAAATTAGGAAATGACTTTTAAAGGAAACATAAATATTTCATAATTCTCCAAGGTTAATTATTATCTTTTTTTAAGGACATGTGTCTTCACACAAATATTTAACATTCTTAATATATTTAAATATTCTTAATATATGTTTCGTCCACATATAAGTTTCGAAAGTTAAGCATGAAGAAGGTTCACAGCACAGGGCATTCTCACCTTATTATATGCGTTGTGACTAGACAGGGTGTGAGAATTCTCCTGTTCATCACTCAGGGAGAAGGAGGACAAGTGACTGAAGGGTCCTGGGGTAAGACAGTCAGCATGTGGGAGGGTCTGTGGATGCATCAGAGACTTAGCAGGAGGATGGAGTTTAGTTTGATATAAAGGATGGAGAGAAAAAGGCTTGGGAGGGACAGGCACATCCTGGGAAGAAGAAAGGCATAAAGAGGATGTTAGTGGGCAAAGGTCAAGCTCACTTGGAATTAAGTCTAAATATTATAGACTTTGCATCAGAATCTTTTACTAGTTGGAAGAAAACCTCCCATCATATTCTGGATCCTCACAAGACTCCTGCTTTTATAGTGCATTGTCTGTCTCTTCCAGTAATTCCCGTTGGTCGCCCATCTCCAGCCTCTCTTGCAGAACTGATCAAGTGCCCACAGAGTCTCCCAACAGGGCCATGTTTGTTTAAGGAAGGAGAGAGCTCGTCCCAAAGTGCGGAGGATGGGACTAGAAGAATTTTCATTGAAGAGGTAGTAACAGTGGAAATTAATTTAAAGGTGCTTGTGATTTGGTCTGGAAGAAACTGGGGGCAGAAAGGGGGAGGGCATCATAGAGGGTATCAAATCATTGTATAATTCATGGTGCCATGAGTTTCCGGTTGAGCTGAGTATGGGGAAGGGCTCAGGAAGAGGTGAGTCTAGAAAGAATGAACGAAGATGTCCATTCCAGGCAGGGTGTTACTTTGGAAAGAAACTGGAGAACAAACAGACGTGCTCAAATATAGAGGGGAAAGGTAATGAGATCTTAACTAGAGAGGGTCTTTCCATCCCCTGGAAAGGGATGCCTGCCTGAGGAAGTCTTTGAGAAAGTAAGAGCTGCTAGATGAGGCCTTGAATTATGTGAACAGAACAAGGAAACCACAAGAGGGAAGTCCTGAATCTACAAAGAAAACTCACAAGAAAGACATATATATATATATGACATATATATATAAGACATATATATATATATATATATACCCATCATAAAAGAAAAGGGCTACTATTTTGCAGGTCTTTTTAAAGCACCTCTTATATTCCTGAAATTTTTAATGTAAGGTAATAAATTGACAGTGATTATCCTACAGTAAAATCTCTTAGGGGATAAAACTTCTAAAATAAAACCTGTTTTATTCACCTTTGAGACCTCAGCATCAAGCATAATGCCTAATAGAGCAGATGTTTAATGCAGTAACAATTGAGTTTTCAAAAGAATATAATATTTTCAATGAGGTCAAGAATGCCATTAGTAATGAATGAATGTGTTTGGCTTTGTGTGAAATGGAAATTCAGTACAAAATAATGCACATTGCTCAAAATGACATTCAGCTAAACAGGTAAATTCAACTTTTAAGACTATACAATTAATATTTCTTTTCATGTAAGCTGAATTGATTTTGCCAAAGCCATGTATTTTTAAGCCACTGATTGGTTTTCTAAAATTTATGCTGAATGTGTTTGCTGTGTCAGTAGATGCCCCCACAATGGGTTCAAACTTACTTTAAAAACTTACTCCAAAACATACTTTAAAAAACTCTTGGAAAATTTTAAGCAGGTTAGAAAATTAAATTCTAGGGTTTTTAAGTTTGTAAAAATGAGGGGTTTTAACCTTATGTACCTTGAAAATATGACTAAAAGTGTTTTATTTTATTAGTTTCTTGTTTGTGCTTCAAGTGTTTATTTTATATATCAAGCAATTACAAATATACATTCTCATTTCACACACACAGACTACAAACATACACTTATTAAAAAGATAGCATCCTATACACAGTGTTCTGCATCTTATTTGAGGTTTTTTTTTTCCATTTGATTACAGTTTTGGAACATTTCTATATCAGTACATGAAAGCTATGGATTCCCTATAACACACATTACTGAGTTATCTCACTGATGATAATCATCATTCAGTGATTCTCTTGGAAGTTCCAGGTATATCACCTAAAATATTAAATCACTTAACACAGTCATAAATTTATCTCTTCTTTGCCAGTTTTTATACTTTTCAGGACTTTCTTTTGTCTAATCCCATTGGCTATTGCCTCTAACATTATTATTATTAAATAATAGTCACGTTAATGTGCAATTTAATGGAAGGGTTGTAGTATTTGCCCACTAAAGATGGCTTTTAGATTAAAATGTATTCTAATTGAGTTTTATTTCTCAATCAACCATTTCATTATTTTATCAACAACTAATTAATCTGTGTGGAAAAGGATTAATATGAAAATTGATTAGTAAGCACAAAGACTAGCTGTGTAAGAAAAAGACAGCATTGTTATTGATAGTTGACAGTGCCTAGGAAGAGGAGCTGAACAGTCTCTGGTTTACAGTCTGGCTTCAGCTTTTTTTGTTTCCCTTGAATGTTTTTTTAAAATTTATTTATTTATCTTTATTGAAGTATAGTTGATTTACAATATTGTGTTAGTTTGGGTAGACAGCAAAATGATTCAGTTATACATACATATATCTATTTTTTTCAGATTATTTTGCCTTATAGGTTATTACAAAATACTGAGTATACTTCCCTGTGCTATATAGTAGGTCCTAGTTGTTTATCTATTTTATATACGGTAGTGTGTATATGTTAATGTCAAACTCCTAATTTATCCCTCCCCCCACCTTTTCCCTTTGGTAACCATGAGTTTGTTTTCTATGTCTGTTTCTCTTTTGTATATAAGTTCATTTGTATCATTTGTCTCAGATGGTTCAAGAATCCATTGTGAGAAAATGTCAGGAGGCAGCCTGTAGTGATCCAGGGGAATCCAAGAGTTCCTTATAGGGAGCAATCTAACCAAGGTCTAACCAATCCAGAGGGAAAAGTTTGAAGAGGGTGTGCTGCTCTGTGTTCTACGCTTCTAAGCTCTCTGGGCTAACCTCCATCTCTCAGGAGTCGGTCAAACCTGAACACTTCTGTAGGGTCAGATGGCATCAGCTATTCCAGGCAGCTGGGCAGGGAGGAGAGAGCAGAATTTTATCAGCATTTGCACAGGCCAAAGAGAGCTAAGAATTTTGGACAAGCTCACTTGAGCACTGTCTGTGGTCAGGACTGTACAAAGCAGAAAGGACCGTTGGTGGTGACAGCCTCTACAGGTATGTCACTGGAGGCACGTTTTCCAATCTGTGCTGCTTGTCTTCTATGCTTTGTGTAGGTTGTTATCCTGCGATTCTTTTTACCTTTGTCCTGGGAATTTGCTTTGCTTTTCTCTTGTGTTTGATCTCCTGTTTCCAGTAGCCCATGTTTTTTCTTTTCCATGTTTCTTCTCATTCACTGGGACTTAAAGGAGCTTCCTGGGGAAATGGAATTTGGGAAGCCAATTTTTGACACCTTGCATGTTGAAAACTTTGTTCTGTCCTTGCACAATTTTTTGTACTAAATCATTTAATTTTTTTGGATTAAATCATTTAATTTTTAAAATTAAATCCAAAATTCTAAGTTGCAAAATAATTATCTTCAGAATTTTGAAAGTATTGTTACACTGTAATAGTGTTACTACACTGTTACTATTTTACACACTTTTTTCAAAAACATATTTTTTATGTATGATTTCTACAGCTTTTCTGTTTTACAGTTATTTTTGTCAATTCTCATCAGTTCCTTTCTTTTACTTTTCTTATGAGCAGGAGATCTTACTGTTCTTTAATTTTCCAAATTGAATATTTAATTGATTTATTTTTATTCTCTTATTCATTAAACATATTTAGAGTTATAAATTTTCTTCCAAGGGCTATTTTAACTATATTCTATAAGTTATAATAGATGATTTTTTCATTGTCTTTTTCTCCACATAGAAATTTTATTTTGAATTTCCCCTTTAATAAAATAATTTGTTAAAGAGCAAATTTTTCAACATACAGATGGCAGGGACCTTTTGTGTTTTCTAAATTTGTTATTAATTTATAAAATTTTTGTGATCAGAGAAATTTCTCTGTATTATTTTTATCTTGGAAGTTAATAGTTTTTTTACTGAGGTAGAGCTGATTTACAATATTATATAAATTTTAGGTGTACAACATTGTGATTCACAATTTAAAGATTATACTACATTTATAGTTATTATAAAATATTGGCTATATTCCCTGTGCTCTACAATGTATCTTTGTAACTTATTTATTTTATAAATAAATAACTACATAGTAGTTTGTACTCTTAATTCCCTACCCCTATCTTGTATTACTTTTATCATGCCAACTAAAAGCTTTTCCTTTTGGGCCTAATCTCAATACATGGTTGGGTTTTGTGAAGAGTCCACAGATATGCAAAAGAATAGTTTCTGTTTTGGTTTGGCTTTTTTGCAGGATACAGAGCCCAACTACATTTATATTAATTCAATTTACTTTAGAGGATCTATTTTTACCTACTGTCCTATGTAATCTATCAACAACTATAAAATGAGTTAAAGTATTTTACCACCAATATATTTTCACTTTTTCTCATCCTATCTCTTGCTTTTGCCTTATGAGCATTGATGTTATATTTTAATGTTTAGATACTCTAATGATTGTATTTTCCATGTAAAGTTTATCCTTTAGCATATAAGGGGGTCTTGTTTGTCTTGTTTAAGGAAATTTTGGCCTGAATTCAACCTTCCCATTCTGAACATTATAACCTCTCCTTTCCTTTTGTTTGTAGCACCTAGAACACTTTGTTATCCTCAGCTGTTCTCAATCACTTGGTTTAACAGTCCCAGCTTAAAGACTGCTTTTTCTGTTATCTAATCTAGGAACTTTTCTTTTCCCTTTTCTAAAAATTTATTTATCTCAATAGTAAAGGAATCTTTCCTAGACCATAAGTTTTTGCAAGAGGTTCATATGAGGAAGGGACCACCGCCTGAGATTGTCTTTGTGCTCCAAAGATACAGGCTTTGGGGTGTGAGTCTGTTTAGTCTTTATTTTTCCTAAAACAATGAAGACTGTCAGCTATACAGTATTTCACATACAGTATTTCACAGATAAGCAACTTATCTGTGTCCAGGCTGTCACAGAAAGAGAGAGCCTCCTGCAAATATGACTTCCTCTGTGATTCACTCTATAGCCTTACCTCCTCCGATTCCTAGAACAAAATCAGTTCAGGGATCTTCTGTTGCCAACATATGCACCCATGCAAAGACAAGGGATTGGGGGTTTGCATATTAAGGTGTATCCCACACATCCAAGATGGGT